GGAGTTTTTGTTGTCGACAGTGCGTCGATCAAATCTCTTCGATTGTTGTTTGAGCCGTTTATTTTGATATTGGCATAAGTCACTTTATCGTGATGAAAAGTGGTGATTTTTTCATGTTTGTACGAAATTATTTTTAGGTTATTAAATTATTATTATTATATTATATTATTCTATAATAATTTAATAATATTCTTATATTATTAAATTATTCTTATATATTATTATATTCTTATATTGTTAAATTATTATTATTATATTATATTATTCTATAATAATTTAATAATATTCTTATATTATTATATTATATTATTCTATAATAATTTAATAATATTCTTATATTATTATATTATATTATTCTATAATAATTTAATAATATTCTTATATTATTATATTATATTATTCTATAATAATTTAATAATATTCTTATATTATTATATTATATTATTCTATAATAATTTAATAATATTCTTATATTATTATATTATATTATTCTATAATAATTTAATAATATTTTTATATTATTAAATTATTATTATTATATTACATTATTATACAATAATTTAATAATATTCTTATATTATTAAATTATTATTATTATATTATATTATTTATATTATTAAATTATACGAAAAATATCAGTATCCTGAGACAACAAATACAAGCAAATCTTCCCGAAAGTTAGCATCCATATTTTTAAACGTGTTCAAAAACGCAAACCCATAAATACATCGACTTAAAAACAAAGTGACCGACTTAAAGACAAAGTGACTTATGCCATTTTCAAAATAAACGGCTCCTTTGTCGCTGCTTCGGTGGTTTTGATTCTCGAGGCAAGATTTTCGCGAGTATAGCGAGTTGTACGTCGTTTCGGTGGCGTTCTCGGTGGTGTGCAGAATTCTCGGGGTGGCTTTTGTGAAAATGGCGAGCGACTCTGGGTATCTCGGTGATTCATCGTTCGCGGAAGCACGATGCATAAATATGGGACTGTTAAGACCGTGTGTTTAAGCAGCGGAGTGGAGATACCAATGAGAATTGTCGCGGTCGAAAGGTTTCAGATAAACGCGTTCGCGATATTGTTGTTTAACATTTGGCGAGTTCGGCTCGTAGTCGCGACAGATTTCGTCGTCAGCTCACTGCGATCGCGATAAGATTATGTCGTTGAACCCCTAAGCCGAAAACAACTGGATATCATACAAGTTAGCGAGACGTGTCGAATAGAAACTGTATTTGCACAAGATGTTTATAAATTCGGTTGGTTACGGAAGAGAGAGAAAAAAAGAGTGCAGTAACGCAACAACAGTGAAACCGTGTTAGATGATTTCCACGATTGCAAATACAATGTGCACCGTGTCTGTTTCGCTGTTTCGTACGATTCTCTTGACCCATTTTTTTCTCCTGCATTTCACCCACATCCGTGTGCATCGAGCGCCGAACGCATCGAACTGCACGATTTTATGATGCGCTCTGCAACGTGATCGTATTAGAAATAAATGTGCTTTGTGCGTTACCTTCGACTGTACTTCTGAACAGTTGTCTGCTTTAAAGAGAAGTATATGGAATTTCCGATTTCAGTCCCGGAAATATATTTTCAAACGTTCTACATTTTTTTGGATAGCAAAGGTCAACGTAACATATTCTTCTGTATCTTGTTTTACACTTTACTCTTGAACGATCCGTATTTTGCTACTTTCTATTTATTAAGAAAATGTTATTATTAGTATTGTTAATTCACCGCGAATTCGAGGAAATAAATGAAATTTGAAATTTATTCGAATCATAGGGGGAACAGGAATAACAAAAAATGTAGAAGTTCTGTCGAATTTGTGATTTTAAATGAAGTGATATCTATGTCCTCATAAGAAAAAGAAGGCACCACACAGATTTATAATAATAATTATAATAGTAGTTATTTTAAATATATAAAACTAATTCGTATACACTTGAGGCCCCGCTAGGAAACCACAAGGACTTAAAACTATTTTGCACTAATTTCCTTGGTTCTGTTTCGAATTTTTGTTTTTGTTGGTGATCGATAGCACATGCAATTTCCGATCTCAGTCCCGGAAATATATTTTTAAACATTCTACATTTTTTTGGATAGCAAATGTTAACGTAACATATTCTTATGCATTTTGTTTTACACTTTACTCTTCAATGATACGTATTTTGCTACCTTCTATTTATTAAGAAAATGTTGTGAACGCATTAGTTCATCGCGAATTCGAGGAAATAAGTGAAATTTGAAATTTATTCGAATCATAGGGGGAACAGGAATAACAAAAAATGTAGAAGTTCTCTCGGATTTGTGATTATTATCACTTAAATGAAGCGATATCTATGTCCTCGTAAGAAAAAGAAGGCACAACGTGCCAACTTTGGCACCACACATTTATAATAACAATTATAATAATAGTTATTCCAACTATAAAAAGCTAATTCGTACACACTTGAGGACCCTCTAGGAAACCACAAGGACTTGAAACTATTTTGCACTAATTTCCTTGGTTCTGTTTCGAATTTTTGTTGGTGATCAATAGCACGCAGCTTTTTTTTGAATAGTTTACAAATGACTTTGGCAGTGAATTTGACTGTAGATACTGTAAAATTTGAAAATTTTCGAGAAACTTCAGGTACATGCGAATTAACATAATTAACACTATGCTGTCCGGTGGCACCACTTTGATGTCATTTTAAAAAAACTGAAATAACATTTGAACTATATTTCTTGAATGTTAAAAGGCAGCTAACTAACTATAGCATTGTGCTTATTTAACTAAGAATTAAGTACGAAAATTCTTGGATGACATATCATCTTAATTTTAGGAATTTATATTATATATATTAAATTATATTAATTATATATTAATTAAATTAATATATTATATATTAATATATATATATTAATTATATTAATATATTATATATTAATATATATATATATTAATTATATTAATATATTATATATATATTAATTATATTAATTTATATTATATATTAAATTTTTTTTAAAATTCAAACAAAAGAATCATATCCGAGATCCGCGGACGGCATAGTGTCAATAATATCGATACACGCGTCGAACAATCGTATAAATCGCGTTACACAATCGCCGTAACATAATCGCCGCGACCGAAGCAGAAGCGAAAGAAAAATTCGGTCGGAACGCGCGAACGAAACGTTCCGAAAATCAATTCCTTTCGAGACACGAAGGTCGCTGGGTCACCTCGTGAACTTTCGCTAGTTCGCCGAATTCGATGTTTCTCGGGGGGGGGGGGGGGGGAAAAAAAAGGGG